TGGAGGAGGAATTCTGGGAGTTGAAGTCAACAAGTCTTAAAGCTGTCAACTTTGAACACCCCTGGGTTTTTTTCCTAATGGATTAGGGGTGCAAGGGTCTTGTAACTTGACAGTTTTAAGACTTGCACACTTCAGTGCCAGGCGTCCTGAGCCAACATGACTGGAGGAGGAATTCTGGGAGTTGAAGTCCACAAGTCTTAAAGCTGTCAAGTTTTAACACCCCTGGGGTTTTTTTTCTAAAGGATTAGGGGTGCAAGGGTCTTGTAACTTGACAGCTTTAAGACTTGTGTGCTTCAAATGCCAGAGTTTCTGAGGCAACATTTTGGTTACTAAGCAAGAGCGTTAAGTGAGTTTCCCCACATTTTCCAACTTGGCCATGCCCACCCAGTCACATGACTGCCAAGCCGCTCCCACCCAGCAACATGGCCAACAAACCACTCCCACAAAGCAGTGGGATCCAAACCACCAACTGAAAATTGAATTCATGGATCTTTGCACTTTGAATGACTATGGTACATACAGTGCATTAACTTTAGGAGCTATCCAGGTGCTGGTACTCAGCAGTTGTAGAAAGGAATATCTAATCAAATTCATGCCACAATGATACGAGTCTTGGTTTAGGATTATTTATTTGCATATCCCCAGTCCCCAAAGTATATTTTCCACACAGTTAGAAATTATTTAAGACTTTCCACAAATTGAATACGCAAACTAGAAGAATAAATTAGAATTGCATATTAATTACAATAATTTCATAATAAACATATAACTTCAATGTGGTGCATCAAAAGAAAATAGGTATCAAGATGAGATCTTCAAACTACCTTCTCCAAATTGGCTAGAACTGGGAATGATGGGAACTGCAGCCTTGATTGCCATTATCTTTCTTCTCTTATGATGATGGTAAGACACAAAGAAGTGTCTTCAATACTCCTCTTAATATATGGAAAGTTTCATCTTAGCATAAGTGAGAAGGCAGTTCCTGATGATCTCATAGGGGTGTCACAGATTTATTTGGCTGGTTTACTTGCTCAATATATATCACGCCTTTTCAGCTCAAGGAGACTTACATGGAAATATTCTTTCTTTATAGTAGGTGTGGCTGAATTAGATACTGGTTTAAAATTATCTGATGATTTTCCATAGGTTACAATGAACTTAAACCTGAGTCCAACAATGTAATCACTACACTACATAGGGTTTGTAGAATGGTTTACTACTTTGTGTAGAAAAAGAAATGCGCTACAGCACAGATTTGGAAAAAATGGAGACAGAGGCAACTCAAAAACAGTCTGAATTCCAGTGGAAATGAGCATCTTCAAAACTGCTTTAAACTTTCATTTAAATCTATTTCTCAGCCCTGTTCCTTCATGTGGATTACTGTACAATAATGTAACTGATTGTTGCAGCAGTTCAATGAGTATAAAATATGAAGCATTATTCTATACAGAATAGGAATGGTGAGATCCTGTTTTGTTTAGTTGCCCACAAACTAACCAGACTCCTTAAAGTGAGCAGCCTAGAAACATTTGTACAAATAAATAAGCAAATACCTTCAATAATGTGTTTCCTTGAAAGTCCTCTTTCTGTTTCAGCTCTGCAAAAAAAAATGTACACATTATTTTCATATGTTTGATTAGTATGGAAAACTATTTGTTAAAAACAATATATTTTACTAATAATAATGCCCTTGGATAAAATATACTACCATACGTGTTGACAAGCAACTGCGGCATATGGTTTTTAGTGGCCTGGTTTGACTGTTGTTCTGCTGCTGTGAGTCATTAAATGGAATTGGAAAAAGAGAGAGAAAAAGCTCAATTTTGGCCGTGGAAGGGCAGCTGTGCTGACACGATGGCTGATGAGCTGACCAGGCTGTTGAGAGGAGTTACAGAGATAGCAAAATCATTGATCTAGCCCAGTGGTCCCCAAACTTGGCAACTTTAAGACTTGTGGGCTTCAACTCCCAGAATTCTCCAGCCAGCAGAATTCTGGGAGTTGAAGTCCACAAGTCTTAAAGTTGCCAAGTTTGGGAACCACTGATCTAGCCTGGTATATCTAGGCATTGGGCACTAGAGTCCTGAAGAGACATCCACCTCCTCGGTTGCTAGGAGATATGCTACTGGTTCGACCAACATTGGAGAGAAAGAGGGGAGGAGAGAAGAAGAGGAGAAAATGGAGGAAGGAGTATTACATAAGGTTTTGCCCCCTTGATTTATCTATAAAAAATAATAAAGGCAGGAATGCCTATGAGGTTCTTAGATATCCGTATCATGGCTGCATCAAAGATTTTTTCAAAAAGGCAACAGAACTTTTTTTTTTATTTGCTTGAAGACGTTTCGCTTGTCACCCAAGAAGCTTCTTCAATTCTTTAGTTCTGAGAACTGAAGAAGCTTCTTGCATGATAAGTGAAATGTTTTCAATAAAACATTTTGAAAATATTTGGGGGGCAACAAAGATAGGAAATGAATGAATGAATGAATGAATGAATGGCTGAAGAGAAAAATTGGAAAGCAAAGTTATATGTGTGTGCAGTGCAGTTGTCATTTCTTGGTCAGAAAAGGAGAATAAAGGTCTATGGGTGACTTCCCTGGAAGAAGTGAAGACCCAGAGAGAGGACATCTTCATGTCAGTCCCAAGATGGGAAGGAAGAGTTTCTCAGTCATTGGAAAAGCCCTGATCCTTGGGGAAGGACCGGACAGAAGACTATGACAGAAGTTCTTCCAAAAAAAGAGATCCAGAGGTTCTTCCCCAAACAGAAAAGCAGTAGGCATTCTAAGCAGCTCCAGGAGAAAGTTCATGACATAGCAACAGCACTTAAGACTTATATACCACTTCACAGTGTTTACAGCCCTCTCTAAGTGGTTTACAGAGTCAAACTATTGCCCCGAACAATCTGGGTCCTCTTTTTACCCACCTCGGAAGGATGGAAAGCTGAGTCAACCTTGAGCCTGGTGAGATTCGACCTGCCAAACTGGCAGCCGGTGATCAGCAGAAGTAGCCTGCAGTACTGCACTCTAACCACTGCGCCACCACGGCTCATAATATACTCTTAATGCTGAGTACATTATAGTTAAGTTCAGCCCGTTCTGTTCTTTTCATTCTTTCTCAACGAAGAAAACAGAGGAAAGAGATGGAGAGAAAAGGAGAGAAAGCAGGCGAGCTAGTAGGGGAGGGGGAAAGGAGAGCGGGGAGGATAGTCTCTGGGTGGAAATGTGATACCAGATAAACACTAGGACTGTGTTGTATATACCTATTGTAAATGCTTGTTATAAGTAGTTTCACTATAAATAGTAAACCTCTATTGTCTTGTTTTTCTGTGTCAATTACCACCCATGCATAGCAAAATACACCTCCAGTTCAAAAGAAACTTGTCACAATTTCACTTTGCAACAAAACATCCTTCTTGTTTTAAAGAATAGTCAACTTGGTTTTGACCTTCAACTATTATTTGTCAGCAGCTAATGGTGTCTGTTGACTACTTCTTGGCTCAGAAGCTATCTAGGGTTGGACCAGGCTTATATTTAAAAGAAAGACCCCAATAGATTACAAAGTTTAGACTAAATTGGGAGTTGAAAAAAACCCACACCCTGGAGAAAAGGAATGGCAAGCTGCTTCCATATTATTCTCAATAAAATTACAGGAACATATTCATGGAGTTTCCTGGAGTCAAACTGGATTTGAAGAGAGACTTTTATCTATCTATATATATAAAAAACGTAAGATAAGCTGAAACCTAACAGGTATCAAAGTTAGCCAGATGCCCTGTTAAAATTAATCAGTAGGCATAGAAACAGATCTTCGAGATGAATGATTCATTCAAAATTCTTTGGAAAAGAGCAATTCACTATGGATTTTATAGTCAGAAAATTTAAACTTCCATTTTATTTGGAATAAATAGCAAAGACATCTATGAGAAGCCCTTCAAATTATTAGCATTCTAGTAACAAACAGGTGCTTATTTATATTAATATAGTGCGATATTAATTTAGGATGCTTTTTGGTTCAAGAAGCAATAACACTTGTAAATTATAAGACTTTCAAATAATAATTAAATCCCATCGTACTTTGTAACAAAATTCTCCATATCAATCATTTTGTCATTATTTTCTACTTTGGCATTGATTCAACAAAAGAAATGAAAATAAGGCCATGTAACCTAAAAAGTTGGTAATCTAGAAATGTAGAGAAGGTGTCCGAAAAGTTAAAGATAAGATTGGTGCCTTTATATATTCAAAATAAAATAAAAAGAAAATACTATATTAACTGCTCTGAAGAAAGTACAGTAAGAACAGACAACAAAGGAAAACGGAAGCTGATCAATTCCTATTTTGTCTCTGAGTCGTCTTCAACAAGAGGGTATACATTCCAACAGCAGATTAGAAGGATGAAAGAGCCAGATTTAATCTTGAGATTAAAAGAAACATATTTTACATCTCTAAAACCATGTGAATTGCCTCCTATCTCCCAAAGGAGTTTTGACAAATCATGAAGAACTAGTGTAGTGCTAGTTGACGAGGGAGGGCAAATGCTATTTCAATGTTCAGAAAGAGGAAAAAGGATACTATTGATTGCCAGTTTAAAACGTAACTGGGAAGATTGTACATTGACACCTGGCAAAGTTCTTGAGCAGTTCATAAAGAGTAATCTGTAAACATCTTGCAAACAATGCAAGGTTAGGCATTGGCTTGAAGTTGACAAGAACATATCCTAACCAAACAGACCATCTCATTTTTTATTAGTTAACTTCTTTACTATATTAAGGGATTGCTTTAGGTGTAGTATAACTTGATTTCAGCAAAGTATTTGATAAAAAAGTCCAGCAAACTAACTAAATGACCAACATAGCATTCCAATTAAGCGGATTGATAGTTGAAGCAAAACTTTATTCAAAATTCAATCATTGTCATTAAACTGCAGAGACAAATGGGAGGTGGGGGGAAGATTGCAAGGATTAGCTCTAGATCCTCTCTCATATTTTTAATAATGATGTGAAGATATAAAATAATTACTAAATTCACAAGTAAGAGAAAAACTGTACAAGGTACCTCATATAAAATGAATAAGATGAAAGTAAAATAAATATTAATAGGTTAAAGCAAAGTGTCTTGAATCTTGTGTTTTTTAGTATCCCCTTATGTGATAAACAAAATGAAATTATTTTTCCATGAGTACAGTGAATTACTGTAGTATGCATGCCTCCTGTAGATTATTACTGTAGATTATTATTAATTACAAGGTAGAGCTGAGGAATTTGTTCAGTATTTAACGGATAAAGTCGCTCAGATTCGGACAGAGCTGGACTCCAATTGCACAGTACCAGCCGAGGTACCGGGGGAAAGTCTTGAGCGTATTTCATGGATTAAGTTTCAACTTGTCTCTCCTGAGGAAGTGGACAAGGCCATGGGAGCGGTGAGTGCCTCCACTTGTATACTGAACCCGTGCCCCTCCTGGCTGGTCTCGACCAGCAGGGAGGTGACACGCGGCTGGATCCGGACGATTGTTAACACCTCTCTCTGGGAGGGAATTTTCCTGCTCCTCCTAAAGGATGCGGTGGTGAGACCCCTCCTGAAGAAACCTTCTCTGGACCCAGCCATTTTGAGCAACTATCGTCCAGTCTCCAACCTGCCCTTTGTAGGGAACGTTGTTGAGAAAGTGGTGGCCTCTCAACTCCAACGGTCCTTGGATGAAACCGATTATCTGGATTCCTTTCAGTCCGGTTTCAGGTCTGGTTACAGCATGGAAACTGCTTTGGTCGCGGTGATCGATGATCTCTGGCGGGCCAGGGATAGGGGTCACCCCTCTATCCTTGTGCTTCTTGACCTCTCAGCGGCCTTCGATACCATCGACCATGGTATCCTTCTGCGACGGTTGCGAGAGGTGGGGATGGGAGGCACCGTTTTGCGGTGGTTCTCCTCCTACCTCTCGGACAGGTCGCAGTCGGTGTTGGTCGGAGGGCAGAGATCGACCCCAAGGCCCCTCAAGTATGGGGTGCCGCAGGGTTCGGTCCTGTCCCCCCTCCTATTTAACATCTACATGAAGCCACTGGGTGAGATCATACGCCGGCACAGGATTAAGTATCACCAATATGCAGACGATACGCAGCTGTATCTGTCTGCCCCGTGCCAACTCAGCGAAGCAGTAGAAGTGATGTGCCAGTGCCTGGAGGCTGTTAGAGTCTGGATGGGAGCAAACAAGTTGGCACTCAATCCAGACAAGACCGAGTGGCTTCTGATGTTCCCTCCCAAAGATTGGCTAACTGTTCCATCTCTCAGGCTGGGGGGTGAAATTATACGCCCCTCAGACAGGTTCGCAATTTGGGAGTCCTCCTGGATCCGCAGCTGACTTTAGAACATCATTTGTCGGCTGTGACCAGGGGGACATTTGCCCAGGTTCGCCTGGTGCACCAATTGCGACCCTACTTGGATCGGGAGGCCCTTCAGATAGTCACTCAAGCCCTTGTGACCTCAAGACTGGATTACTGTAACGCGCTCTTCATGGGGCTGCCCTTGAAGAGTGTTCGAAGACTTCAGCTAGTCCAGAACGCAGCCGCACGAGTGATTGTGGGTGCACCCAGGTACACCCACGTTACACCTAGAATTGTGTGGGGGCTAGAATTTTTTTGTGATAAGAAATTAAAACAGCTGGACATGTTAATTTTCAGAAGGGAGAACTACAGACAATATGTCATTCTTCAAATACCTCAAAGAATATCACAGAGAAAGTCAGAGACAGGCTTAATTATTCCAGAGTGCAGAATGTGGAGTTACAGATTCAAGGTACAGGAAGGAGATTTTAACTGAATGAAGGGGGGGGGAATCTCAATAAGAGCCATAGAAAGTAGTACTAAGACAGAGATGGGACAGCCATTTGTCTTGGTTGCTGTGATTACAGGGGTATCTGAAGTCAAGATGGTAGGCATCACATGGGATCTTACACACACACAACACACATGACATACTCAAAAGAGGCAGAGCTTCTATCACAGTGTGGTGGCTGCTTTGACTGTTGTCATTGCACACTGCAGAATTGATAAGACTCATATGACCCCTTCTAAATTCTGGGATTCCACCCTTCTTTCTCCTGAGTAGAGTTTAGAACAACAATATTGCCCTTATTACAGTTTAATTATTTTTCATGCATTGAAGAAGTGTGACAGAGATACCACCTTTGTCTAAAATCCCTGCCAGCATGGCAAGGGAAGATTGGACCATGTGACAGGATTGTGGGTGTGGGGCAAGATCTTGAACTTTCAACTGGGTGGGGAAAACCGCGGAAGCTTTCAGATTTGGGTTTTCCAGATATGCTAACCTGGCTCTCTTAATAAATTGGAACTTTGTTTTGGCTACATAGCATCTCTCTGTACAATCCCCCCTCCCATTTTCCCACAATATAAAAAGCATAATAGAGTAATAGAGAGTGTGGCAGGCCAAAGATCCAAAAGGAATATGGCGCAGGCATGACATTGAGGTTACTATATGGAGCTGGATGGTCACATAAATTGAATTAATAATAAACGTAATTTGATTAAACCAAAACTTGATAAAAGTACTGAAGCTCTCGGCTGTCTCTAGATCATGGTGTCTTTTCAACATTAGACATTCTTTTAGGATGCAGCTTGTCTTGTTTTTGACTAAATGATTTTTTTTTTAAAAAAAAGCAAAAGCCATTCAACTTTGAATAATTTAGTCTCTACATTCTAAAGCTGGTTTTGGCACTTTTAAGATAATTTTAACCAATAAAAACTGGATGTCAGTTCTATGAGAGAGGGAAAAAATTCTGTTTTTTTTCATCTATCCCTATGTAAGGGAAGAAAGAGGGAAAGTGAGAAAACGAGTGTACATGAGAGCAAGCTGGGCTCAATTCTAATGAAAGAAAATGGTCTTGATTTGGTCTTGCTGCAAGAAATCATTTGAGCTTATGCCCAAGGGTGAGCCAGATATTTTTAACTCTCTTACATTTAATAAAACGCTTTCATTTCTGCAAAAGTTATTATTCACATCTATCCTGTTCCCCAACTGATAATAAGTATTACATGGATGAGAATTCTGTTTCCCAAAGGTTTTACAGTTGAAATTATGCAACTGAGAAACAGCAGAGGAAGACATGTGGTTATCATTTAATGTTCAGAACGTCTAGGATAATATATAAAAGAGAAGATAATCTACTTGCAAAATGCTGACATTTTATTGATGTCACTTCAAACACTCCGGGGATACTGGGAAGAAGGTGGGGAACAAGAATCACTTGGTTTTTATTACATACATACATATATACATATACATACATATATATATGTGTGTGTGTGTGTGTGTGTGTGTGTATGTATGTGTATATATATATCTATGTATGTATGCATGTATGTAATATATATGTATATGTGTGTGTGTATATATATATATACACACATACATATACATACATACATGTATACATGTAGGTATGTGTGTGTGTATATGTGTGTGTGTGTGTGTATATATATTTTGCTAGTAGAGTAATAGAATCTCAAAAGCCTACCAAAGTCAATCTCCCATGCAACTTCTACCTAGTGTGATTTAAGGTGGAGTTACTCTAAGTCTACTACTCATGCTTTTCTCCTGCACAAGAATCTGTTCTGTAATGTCAGGTTTCTCCCTGTAATTTCTGCTGTGTTCCCAAGGTCTGTTAGGCAATCTTTCCACTGCTTCATTTAAGACTCATTCTTCTGCTCCACCATGAAATACATGGAGAGTGATGATACCCCTTCCAGTCTATGTAGATGACCAGTGCTGTCCCTTTTCCTTCCAATGCCATCCCTCTCAGCCCTAGTAGCCCATTTTGAAGCTGCCAGGACTTGAAAGAAGAGAGTTGTCCTGCTAGACTGCAGCATCTATTGGCACACCTGAAAAGCAGGTGGTATGTGCAGGTGGTAGGTCATGGAGTGAAATGGGAGAGATCATGTTCCATCCCTTCAGCATCAGTCAGCTGGTTTTTCATGATACTTTGAAACATGTGTTTAGCGTCCATTTGAGAGTGTGCTAAGTTCCTCTTCAGATTCCTTCTGAAGACAGATTTACTGCTTTTTTCAGAAGAATGTGACAAGTGTGCTTGGAAGTAGCCCAATGAACATATGGCAAGGGTGTGGAACAGGTGCTTATTGGGAGTTCTTTTTATAACCATTCCCCAGTGTATCTGTCAGATGTGAAGCCTAATTTTAACCACTGGTTTGGGGTTCTTCTGAAAGATCATACAACAGCTGACAGACAAGTGAGATTTCTATTAACATCTAGTTGAAGACCTCAGTCAGAGGTCCGCTGCAGTAAGAGAAAGGGAATGGCTCTAACGCGTTTCATACGTCTATGCTACTGCTAATCTAAAGATTAAATTGGAGACTTGGTGAGTTCATGAAACTATATAGTTTGAATTCACACTCTCCTACAGCCCCAAAAGAATGAGCCTGAAAGACAACATACAGGGAGTAGGGGCAAAGGAGGATGTGTACCAGCCTAAAGCTTCAAAAGTAACTTTGATTGAATGATAGATGAAGCAGTTCATATTGCAACTGTAGTAAAGCTTCCATGGCTTGTTGCTTGTTTAAAGAGGGGGGACTATTTTGAGCTGGGAACAGCCAAGAATAATATTAAATTGCTTCAGATATGCACAGGATGACTTAAAAGCAACCATATCAAGATGTTAGGACAATAGGGGATGTTTAGCTATGGTTAGGTACAAATGGGGAAATACTCCATGTTTCATTCTGATATTTCTGTGTTCAAGAGAAGTATTCTTTTTGTCAGTATTTCAACATTTCTGGAACTCTGGAAAAAGAGTCAGGTTTATACTTTGAGTTTAAAACTGTACACTGTGCTAAATATACAATTTAGTGCCATGTTTGATTCACCTATTTCAATCTTCAAATGAAATATTACATTGCCAAATATGTTGCATTTGTGTTACTTTTTGAAAATAGACATGATACCAGACTGAAATTTAAAGCCCAGAGTTTTAGTTTAAAGCTGTACTTTGTGCAAAAATTTAACTTTAGCAAATGTTCGCTGGACAAATCTAGACTTTGTGATTTACATATCATGCTGGTTCTTGGTTTTTGACCACCCAAAGAAGGGTCTTTGAAGGGAGAATGAGTAACTGAAGAGAGTATGGCATCCCTCTAATTAACTAAGCACGTGCAATAAATTTTCTTTTTCCAACATCTGACATCTTCTCCAAATACATTTATTGAGAGAATAACCAGTTTTAAAATCAAAACGTTTGCCTATTTTTTTTGGGAGGGGGAGGGAGGAATCCAAATTAGTGCCTTCACCAACCAAGATGTAATACAGTAGTACCATATCATGTTGATACTTATGATATAAGCATGCACTATATAAATACACACATAAAGCTAGAGAAATACATTATTTCCATAACAAAGGAAATCACAGTATACAGTACTTACTTTCCACCCCAGTAGAGCTTTGTTGTAATGACCAGACTTGATCTCCTAAACAAAGCAAATTACATTTCAGTTTTGTTCATTCCTTAAGAAATATCATTGTAGCCCCTGTTTTCCCTAATGCAGTTTCACCTCCTACACTGTCAATTTAAGCTATGTCTCTGAACAGAAAGTCATCCAAAAGACTTAGTGCAATTGCTAACATTATGACCGCTACATGTTAAAATTGTAGGGATGTTATTGAATGCTCAGTCTAATTCTTTTCTTAAGAAAACATGCATAGTATGAGAGGTTTGAGAAAACAGAGATACCTTATTATCACTACAAATATCTAAAGTACATGCTGAAGCAGCTAGAACGTTCCCATTTGTCATTGGCAATGAATTTGTGCAGCATTTGACAATGCCCATGGAACCCCAGAATAAAACAATACTGTAGTGATATAGTGGTACAATGCAATACGCATCATTCTTTCTTTTTTCAACTGTTCTATTTTTTTCTTTTTATGTTCAATGTTATTTAAAAGTAGTATTAGTTAATAACAGGAAGTAGTAAGAAGCAGATGTAACTAAAATTTCATATGATTCTCTCATGAGATCTCTCAAGATCTTGGAAGTAAAACTACCTGAATCTCAGAAAATATAACAGTTCAGCTATTTGCTTGTATCAGACACTTGAAAACATTTTTTATCTATATTATGTACTTTGGCTTTTTTCTTTCAAAAAGAGAGTGAGAAATTTCTTCCATTCTTCGTTTCCCTGAATGTGACTTGACAATTCAGTCTGTGATCTCTCTGTAAAGCACACAGCATGTTGAGCTTTCTAAAGTTTAAAAAAGTGAAAGAGATTTAAGTGAATTCCACTTCCACCTTTGTTTCAATCTGGCAAGTGTTTCTACAGATTTTTTTTTTTTTAAATTCAGTAAAAATGTACTGGTCTGGAAAAACGACTATGCACAAATTGGCAGTAGAAAGAAGCAGAATTTTGATGGCCTGTACCTCCCTACCTGTAATACTTTCAGTCAGTCAGTCTGTGGAGGATATACGTTGACACTGCGTTTTCAAATAATTGAACTGGAATGAAGTCAATGGGCTTTAAGATAAAGCTGAAGGGTACCATTCTTTTAAAATCTGCTTGCACAAAGGGGAAGCAAGCTCTAACAGGTACCTACATCAATGTCCGTCAGGAAAAGTGAGAGAATGGGTTTATCCCTTAAACATCCCTCCTTTCCCTTTGCCTGTGAAGGCAAAGACCAAAAAAATGGTAACACTACCATAGATAAGAGTCATAAAACATTATTATGTGACTACACTGCCGTTTATTTTTCTATAAACTGATAGAATGCCCAGATGCATGCATTAAATCAGGACAATCTCAATAAAATTGGGACCTGTATAAAACCTCAGTGGAAACTTGGAAAAGCTAAGCGGAACATATCTTTTCCAGTTATTTAAAGATATCCTCAAAACTTTGCCTAGGTCCATAAGGGCAAGGTATTGGAAGTATTCCAGCTTCTTAAGCAAACCGTCAATAGAGCAGTTGGTAGAAGTTGGTCTCTATGGTCTCTTACAGAAATAGGAAGCTCAGAATTAGCCAGGCACGGATATGAGATCAGATCTATAAAGAGTTCTTAGAATCTGAATTATTCTCCATTCTACAGTTAACAAAAAGAGCATATAAACAACAAAATATCCTACCTCCAGCCTTTCTTTTTGATAATGTTTCCCAAAATAATTTCAGCCCTGTAAAAATAAAAACATTTCATCCCTGTAAAAATAAAAACATTTACAGATCATAACACCCATGTGTTTCATTATTCACAATACTTGAACAGGTGTCACTTCTTTTTTTTTGGGGGGGGGGAGCTGCATTGGTTGCCAATTTATTTCCAGGTGCAATGGGGGGGGGGGCAGCTGAAAGTCAGAGTGAACTAGTTCTCCTGAACTGGTCGGAACCGCTAGAATCCCATCCCTGCAGGTGGGTTCCATGTATTTAAAAATACATTTGGTGGGACCAAGAAAAAGGGCATTCTCTATAGGCTCCCTCCTTGTGGAAGATCATTCCTCCAGAGATAAAACTGGTCCCCTGCCCCACATTGCTTTTCTGAAAGACTCTCTAGATATGGTTCTGTCAGCAACTTTGGAGACCCTGGGTTGATATAGAGCTGATGAAGTGGCTTGTTTGATTGGATTTGTCGCTGCTATGCCGAGGGTGGGGAGAGGAGGAATGGGTTTTTAATTTCGGCTTTTTATTGCCATATATTGACCACAGTCACAGTGTGTGAGTTTGGCAGCTATATAAATGTGTTTAATAAATATAAATAAACATAAATTCTTATTTAATAATTTGTCATTTAAGTTTGAATAGATCATTCATTTCCACACTTTAAAAAAAAATCTAATCAATAATTTTGGTTTTGGAACAGGGCAGAAGCACAGAAGTGTTTCATCATTTATAACTTCCTAGTTCTATTACGTTCACCAAGGTATTATGCTATGGTTTGAAGTTCTTCAGTTTGAAGACATAAAGGGAATAGAAGAGTCTTTGGTTACTGACTTGTATAAAAAGAAGAAATAAGAGGCTGCTAGCAAGGACGGAAGATTGATGCACATCTCATCTTATGGCAGAGAAGAAATATAAATATAGATATTCAGACACATGGGAATCAATGTTTTATTTTCTCTCTCTCTATTTAACAGAATAATTTTGCTCTGTCTCCAAATGTCTCAGCAGAGTTTGTGTCCATGGAGAGCAAAATGTCACAATTTTTACTCAGAAAATACCACCAAGTCATCTGGTCACAAAGGCAAACCAGTCTGTGGTGCCTTGAACCACAACTGCGGGATATGGGGTATTTTTTGTGGTGTTCAAACTGTTTTGTGAAATGTTTCACCCCCAGAAAATATACTTCCAATATTCCTTTATCTCTAAGCAAGCACCTCCATTTTAAAGTGCAAAGTTTTTTGTTTTTACCTTTAAGGGAGATATTGAGACCAGAGTTTAGAGGAACCCAGGTTCAGAGTCAGTATTATGCAAGCCTTGCTGCATTTGAAATCCCTAAATAAATTCAGAACACACAGAGAATTGCAGAAGTATGATGTATGGAGATCCTAAGAACTGAGATAAACTCAGATAAACAGAACAAGAAGTACATCAGATGGACGCCTATGTCTCTGTGTATATGTTTTGTCTGTGTATATGTAAAGGAACATGGATGGAAACGGGGACATATGGACAGAATTCCCCAAGGCCACTGAGCTATTGCAGAAAAACTCCTTTGCTTTATGATGGTGTCAACCAAGACTAAAAAGAGTGCAGAGAAGAGCAACAAAGAAGATTAGGGGACTGGAGACTAAAACATATGAAGAACGGTTGCAGGAACTGGGTATGTCTAGTTTAATGGAAGAGGGGAA